GATTGCAGTATCTTTCAAAATTATCGCAATGTGATTTATTTATTTATTTATTTTTTTGCATATTATGCAGTCTATGAAGAGTCTGTCATTCACATTCTACTCACCTCATTTATTATCTTTCAGTCCACAGACAATTATTTGTTACTGATATTGTGAGTACAAGTGCTTGGCACTGAGTTTTTTTGTTTTCTTCCTTTTTTAAAATTTTACTTACCCTACTTTTTCATAATTAATAGTCCCTTAGTAGTCTTGAACTTTGCGCTGTTTAAATCAAAGCTAATTGAGGTGAACTCAACCTTTAAATCTCTTTGTATGCTGCAAAAGTGCTCATAATTCCCAGCTGAAAGAATACATTTGTGATTATGTAGATGAAAGTGTGACTTTTATCTGATATCTGATACGTTGTTTCTTTCCTCTTCTCAACAGTCAGATAGTCGGCAGACTCCGCCCTACTCCCCGCAGCCTACAGCTGTCCCTCAGAGTTCCTCCCAGTCCTCCAGTTCCCCTCAGCCCTCCCATATTAAGACCAGTTCTACAGGTCCCCAGAAGCAGCCTGTTCACCCCCAGGTCCCCTTGTCTCTGTTCAGCTTCCCTACCGCCCATCCAGGCCAGTACCACCCAGGGGCGCTCACCGCATTGGGGCTTCTTCCTTCTCACCAGCACCAGTCACACCAGTCCCAGGGGCAGCCTCATCACCCAGTCCACATCCCTTCCACCTCCTGGCCCATACACGGACCAGTCCTCACTACGTCCTCCCCCAGTGCCCCCTCCCCGCCCGGCCTGAAATTTGCCCTGCGTTCAGCGTCAGGGAACGGGAGTCCCACAGGGTCAGGGGGCAACCCCAACCCCATGAACCTGAACGACCCCAGCATCATCTTCGCCCAGCCGGCGGGGAGACAGCTGGGCATGGGCGGGCCAGGACGGGAAGGACACTGGCACAACCACTTGGCACAACCTGGGTCACTCATGGGAAATGGCACTGTGGTCAAGTCAGGTATTCACTGGGTGAACTTTGGTGGCACTGACTGTGTGTGATTCTGTCTTTGTGTCTTCCTCCTCCTGTATCTTTGAATACAAATTTAGTGTGAATTTTAAGGCAAGTACTGATGTTTGAAATAACAATTTGGCCGATAGTTAATGCCAATGTTGTCATTTTTAATTTTTTTTTTTTTTTTTGGTTATTGTTGTATTTATTCTCTCTTTTGTGTTAGAGAAACAAAGAAATTCTCATCATTAAAAAAACAACTAAACTATTCAGTCCCTACACACATCTCCGAATGGATACATATTCAATCACAGAAATTTATGAAACAACCTTTTATTGCCATCTTTCACTTGCAAAACATGTTTGTTTTTTAAAAAGCCTTTTAACTGTACTAAAAATATCACAGTTCCCTCACTAATCTATATCTTATAATGCTGTTAAAAAAAAAGACAGACTTCAGACAACTGCATTTATTAAAGTTTCTTGTCAAAAATTACATTTTACAAGATTACATTTGAACACACCACGATAACATTTTAATTTGCCCAATACTCTTTAACTGAATTAACTGAAGAGTTTGAATGCATCATAATGTAACTCACTGCAACAGCTACCGGCTGTTAACCGCTAACGTCAACTAGCTCTCCAGCAGATTTCAACACAGACTTGTTGTTTACAACATTATCAGAGAAATGATAGGATACGTCCCCTGATGTGCTGATAGTGAGTTTTACTTCCTCCCTTCGTCTGGAAGGAATCCCAGGGAAGATCTGTGTCTATCCCAAACATGTTTTGTCCAGGGGCAACGGGTCGCTGTTAGTCTCGAGCCCCTTTTTTTAGCCTGTGCCGAATTGATACAACACAGCAGAAAAACATCGACCATTGCCGTCAGTGAATGTCTTTTTTTTTTTTTTTTTTTTTTTTTTTTTTTTTTTTTTTTGCTGACAGGCCGAGAGCAGTCTATAAGGCCAATATTGGCTGATTCCGATGTTCAGCAGATAAACGGATGCATCCCTATAAGTTACATGTACAGTCTCTTTTACTTTCTCTTTTACTTACTCTTTTAACTGTCGAATGATTTTGGTCCCAGTGTATGGTATTAGTTGTAACAGTACTTATTTGCCGTTTTCTTAAGAGAAAAAAAAAACTGTAACAATTCAGAAAGTATGTCTGTGAAGTTGGCTCAAACTCTACAAGGTCCCCTGAAACACAAGGTAACACCACCTTTCCTCTGGTCAGGGCTACGCCCCCTATCAAGACACACAGAAATTACATTTCAGCGGTTCAGAGAGAGAGAGAGAGAGAGAGAGAGAGAGAGAGAGAGTTAGGGTTCTTTTTTCTTAACATATAAAGTATTACATACATCTCCCGCAGTCATCCAGAAGTTATAGAATTGTATTTGGCAGCTGCTGCTTTCAAGATGAATCTACGCTCAATCTCAAGTTTTAAAGTGCTCCAAAAATGGATATTTGAACATTTACAATTCCGTGACAACTGTGTGAACTACATACAACCAAAAGCTTCAGAGCAGCTACTAAATGGATCTTGTAGTGATAGGTGTTTTATCAGTTGTAGTTACACATGTTAGATTTGGAGAAAGAGATTGAGCGTTAGACAGACAGAGGGTAGGTCACAGTAACACGTGAGTGAAACCTGAGCCATTTGCATCAGTGTAGATAGCTGAAAACTGAAACTGACAAATACGAGGCTGAAATGCATCAAGTGTAGCAAGTGATAAGAAAGAGGGATAACTCTCTGTCAGAGCTGTGAGGGGTTCAGGATTGTCAGAGGTTGTGGGGTAACGAATATAGAGCTGGGAAGGGGCTTGCGTCTCAGGCTTGAATGCTGAGTTGGGTTTTCTCTTATTCTAAAAATCCCTATTCATTTCTTTAAGATGTGGTATTTTTTTCAGCTTGTTCAGCTCTTTTGTCTTGACTTGCTTTTTGTGACTCAATTTTAGCTAACAATGTTGGATAAGATTTTGGACTCAGTTCATTTGCAGTGACTTAAACGTTACAAGGCACACTTGAACTTTAAGTCATTTAATGAAAATACAGTGCCGAAGCTCTAGGCCCCCAGTCTGTTTCACTTTTACATAGTACACATTCAAACAGTAGTTTGACTGTCTCCTAAAAAATGACAGCTCTGATGCGTATTTGGAATATGTGAAAGGTGCATTATCGAGCTAAAACAGGTGTCAAGTTGCTCATTTTCTCGATCATTTTGCACAGTAAAGGGTTAAATGGGGTTAAATGTAGTTGGTTAGGATGTGGATAATGGTTGATTACATCACTGGTGAAGTGTCACTGTTGGGTGTACACAGACTGGGATATTACTGACCTTTTATTATTAGATTTTATTGATGTGTGTTCTGATCTTGTCTCTACAGAGTCAGGCCACCCAGCCCAGTTTGTAAACGTGAGCCAAGGCTCTCGGTTATGGGAGCACAATAAAACTCCGCAGTACACACTGTCTCCATCCTGGCCCTACCGGATGCCCCAGAACTTCATCCAGCAGGGCAACGGAGGCTACCAGCCTGGCAAACCCTTCGTGGCCCAAGGTCAGACATTATTAACATTTCTTATATGCTTCTGATAAAAATATATGATCACAAGATCTCCATTTGTACTGACTTTATTTCTATTTCTTTTAAATTCATTCTTCTTTCATCAGGGTCTGTGGTGCATCCAAATCCGAACTTCCCACTGGTCCCTCATGTCCGACATCAAGTCAATCTGAATTTCATCCAACAGAAGAAGTGAACTTGCATCTCCTTTTAATTAGATTTATGGTCAGTAACATAACAAAGCAAATTTATGTACTCTTTGCATCATTTGATCACGAGAATTTTTAAAAAGAATTTTTTCTCATTTTTGTACAGTTTTTATGTTTTATTTTCTGTCTCATTACATTGATTTGTGATACAAATGTCAAATATTTTAATACCCCCATTTTTGAGGGGGTCCAAAAAAGTGTTTTTATTTTATGTGTAAAGTAAGGAGGAAAAATATAAACCTTTATTTTTATTAGCTGTATTCATACTTTGCTTGCCACAAGATGAAGGCTTTGAATAGGCGTTTGTTTTAAAAACAATCTAACATGTCACCCTAAGTAAGTAGTGCCAAAAGCAGGGATAGCAAGAAAAAAGGGAAAAAATCTTAAACATAAAAAAAAAGCTACAAAAAAATAAAGAAAAAAGCAAACAACTTCATGTGTCGTGTGGGTTCATCTCTTCAGTTTTGTGTGTGTGTGTGTGTGTGTGTGTGTGTGTGTGTGTGTCTAGCAATTTTCATTCTGCTAAAATAGACACTTACTTGAGGTCTGATTATACATCCACAGATAGAACTTTTTATGTTTCATGATGACTGAAGATATGTGCCGATTTGAGAGTTATGTCCGCTTTACACAACCTGTGCATCTTAAACAAACTCATTCATGCTCGGCATGGCATTTTCCTGTCACCATTTTGCATGTATGTAAGTAGGGAGGTAGCTAGCTAGCTTCATAGGAAGACGATGAAGTGAAGCTTTGATTGTGTGATCAGCAATTAGTTTAACAACATTATTTGAGTGGCCGAACAAATCGGAGATGTGGATGGTCTTGAATCAGGCCACGGTTGTCCTTCTTACAATCCCAATCCCAATCCCATTTACTACATTGGCTCCCCAGATCAGAACTAAGTGCTTCAGTCTGTATGATACATCTAGTGTGCCCTATGGTTGTCAGTTATTGCACATGAAATAGCGCAATGCTTTGCAACATGCTGGGTGTCAATTGCAGTTAACATTTCACCCTCAACTAACATAACTACTTTATGTATGTTTGACATGGCGCTAAAACACAATGAGTAGGTAATTGAATATAACATTGTAAATTAGGTGAACTAAGGCTCTTGGGTCATTAAACAGCTGATGACCAGTTTGTCCAGATGCTGAAGTGTCCTTGAGTGCCCTGATAAGCAGGCCAGTGCAAGGAAAAACAATAGCAGGTTACTCTATACAAAATGTGTGCCAATAAGTTTACTGTAACTATCATGTATATTAAATTAGTAGCACAATCTCAATCATACATGATAAATTCTGTCACAACATATACTGAATTGTAGTCCTTTGAGGTGTTGCAGAGCCGTGGTCAGATGGTTTCTCGCTGTGTGTTGCCTCAGATTCGTGATGTCAGCGTTGTGAGGAAGCTTTGCCCCTCTGGTTCAGCTTCACTGAAGCTGCAGAGAGGTGAAAGGAGAACATGTTGCATCTTCAGTTTGTTTGCAAAGAGCAGATACAGAATCTGATATGTTTATTTTGCACCCGGAAACGGCCTACTACCTCACTGTCATTGTGGAGTTCCTCAGGGAAAGCAGAACTTATTATGAACTGCAGGAGATCTCTGTAATGAATCTTTAACGACACACAAAGAGAAACACTGAGATTAATGCCATATACAACAGTTAAAAACAAAATGTAATGAGATATTGCTTGATGTTACTATTTCAGTTTATGGGAGTAGGTTTCTGACACATCCCATACAAGGGTTGAGGTTCAGTTACTCTGAAAATCAATCACATAAAGCCTTTGGAGTCCTACAATCCACCAGCTGCTCAAGGCTGTTAAAATCCAACTTAAATACAAGACGTTAACATGCTGGCACTTTACAACCATCTGTAATCACATGCCCCAAGTTACAAAGGTCAAAGGCAAATTCTATCTGCTGAGAAAGATGTTGAGACTTGGTTGAAAGCTCCGGGAAAAGCTAGTAGGTGGAGCGGAGTTGTGCAGAATGAATTTTTTATGCTTAAAGGGATAGTGCACCCAAAAATGAAAATTGAGCCATTATCTACTCACCCATATGCCGATGCCGAGGCTCAGGTGAAGTTTTAGAGTCCTAACAACACTTGCGGAGATCCCAGGGGAGAGGGGTTAGCAACACAACTCCACCTAATGGAGGCTGACGGCGCCCCAGATTCAAACGTCCAAAAACACATAATTGAAACCACAAAATATCTCCATACTGCTCGTCCGTAGTGATCCAAGTGTCCAGAAGCCCTGACATAAAATGTTGTTTGGAAAAACATCATTTGAACTGTTTTCACACCGCGTTCACATGTGCGCGCTTGTGCGTGACACCAGCAAAAGCATGTGAACACACATGAATGCAGTGCCCCTGTCTCACGGTCTCGCACAAGCACACACACGTGAGCTCTGTATACACAGAAGCAGATAGAGCTGCAGGCTACAGTGAGGCTAAAAACAAGAGTTCAAATGACGTTTTTTCAAACAACTTTTTATGTCGGGGCTGCAGCACACTTGGATCACTACGGACGAGCAGTATGGAGATATTTTGTGGTTTCAATTATGTGTTTTTGGACGTTTGAATCTGGGGCGGAGTCAGCCTGCATTAGGTGGAGTTGTGCTGCTACCCACTCTCCCCTGGGATCTCCACAAGTGATGTGAGGATGCTAAAACTTCATCTGAGCCTCCATCGGCATATGGGTGAGTAGATAATGGCTGAATTGTCATTTTTGGGTGCACTATCCCTTTAAAGCTGAAGGTTGGTATGTTCACAAGCTCACATGACTTTAACAATAATGTACTCTTTAGAATTTAAAATGCTAACATTAGTTTGTTGACAGTTAAAGGCCCAGTTTTTTACCATTAGCACTTGATTAGCATGTTAGCATATTAGCATGAATACAGTTAACCATTTTAATCTGTAATGCAATGTGTTACAAAAGAGCATTGTATTCAAAAAAAAAAAAAAAAAAGAAAAGACAAGAAAAGTCACAGTAACTACGAGATCAGGATCCTCTAATGATGAGAAAACACCATATAATCACAAGATCCTGATCTCATAATCATGACAAAAAAAGAAAATGCTTCAATTTATATCTCTAAAGCATCCCGTATTGGTATAACTACTCCTTCAGGAAGCGAGCAGCTTCCAGCAGGTCAGACTGGGCTTTCCTGGGTTAGCAACGATTGACCTGAACTTTCTCTCATAATTACAGGACGCTGATCTCGTAATTACATCTTTTATTGTAATTACGATATAGCAGGGGCGATTCTAGGATCAGAGGTTTAGGGGTGCTGAGCACCCAGAGAGCTGCCCGGCCAGGCAAGATAAATTTCACTGTTTTGTACATTTTAAGCAATTTCATTCCCACATTTGTGAAAGAAAAGCACAACACTTTTTGGGGCAAAAAAGGCAAATAACCAAACAATGCGTTTTATATCTAATAAACTGATACATTGATCCAACTTACAACATCATTCTAGATAGATAGACCATTTGATCTTACACTCTTACCTGAACCTGGCTCTTTTTTTCAAAAAAACAATCTTATATCCATGATGAGGCTGTCCGTCTGTCTGTACACACACACACACACACACACTATGGGCCCTAGGCCTTTTTGGGGGGTATTTTTCCTACCTTTACTTTTGAGCTCATATGTGTCCCCCTCAATGTATATGGTGACTACTGCCCTGTCATGCATGCATAATTAGGCCTCAGTTGTCTGTGTGCGCAAAGGTGAAGTGGCTGGTCTTGTCATACAAAGTTTGATGGAGTGTCAACTGGACAATATGGAGATATTTGCATCTTGAAAGCTGGACTACAAATGTGGACAGACAGGGAGAAACACACGCAAGCCTAAGACATGGTAAGATATGATATTCCTCACTATATGAAGTGACTGATAACAAGATCTGTATAATGGATTGTAAAGAAATTCGTCAGGTTTTTATTTTGTAGACAATCAATCTGTATTTATAGCATGATGGGATGACAGTACAATAATGTGTGTGGTATCACTGGAAAGCTCTGCTCCTGCGCTTTCATGTGATATGCGTGGCATTTCTGTGCGAGCCTGCATTCGCGAGCAATCCATCCAAGAGTAATGTGTGTGCAAAGCTGTATGAAAGCTCTGTTATACATCATTTTAGTGTAAATTTATCTTTTTTTTTCGCTATGAAAACAATAGACTACCGACAAGTGCTTGGTCTTGTCAGAAAGCTACAGTTCTGCTGTTTCGCGTGATATGCGTGGCTTCTCGCTATGACGCACAGTCGCGGAGAAAAACTATAGAGAAGAACAGGTGTGAATTTGGACGCACTATGCGTTGTTCGGGCCCATAGGGTTAATATTAACTGCTGCTGTATTTTTGTGAAATCTCTCAAATTTTGGGGGTGCTGGGATTCAATTTAGGGGTGCTTCAGCACCCCCAAAAATGGGCTAGAAACGCCTATGCGATATAGTAACTTAATATTAAGCAGGAAGATGTCTAAAAATTGTTTTCTCTTTTTCGAATGCAATGCGTTTCCATAATGAATTTACACTGGTGGCAGCACAGATCTCACTGCTGCTGAGGAGTGCTGCAGTCAGTCGGCAAGGAAGAAAAACTATGCCATCTTTGATCTTACATGTGTTTGTGTCAGCCCCCCAGAACGTTGCTAGACTTTGAAGCCGATGTGACATGGTGGCCAAACTGTGTAACTACAACTATGTCTATGCAATATTATACACAGAAAGTCAAACTTTGTTGGCCTCACCCATCACTGAGCAACTTTCATAGGAATGAATGGGGTACCACCACCAACGCTTTGTCCTGAGCTTTTTATACATCCATGGTTTGTATGACATTCACAGAGGACTCCTCCTTCTGTTGACATTTTTGTTAGTCAGCATTTTTTTTTGTTTTTCTATCTTAACAGTTGCAAAGAAGATTTTCTCCCATCCACTGAGTTCATATTTGCAACAGCCACCCCGTAATATATAACATTTATAGGGTCAGTAATTAAAAACAAAAAAGCAACTGTAAGAACAGTTTTGTATGCATGTCTAACTGCTAGTGCTGCCTTACCTGGACTGGATCATTTTTATCAGAGAACATTTGCAGAAGCAGAGAAAACGTTGGTAATTTCAGTGGAACGTCATTTCTCAGAAACAGGTGAGTGATCTCAGATCGATTCAGCGTCCCACTGCAGGTGAGATCAAGAGCTGCCACTTCGTCCTCTGTTGATCTCAGACAGAAGAGCCGCCAATCAGACAGCTCCTCTCTGACAGCCGAGGAGAGCTCAGCCTTATCTCTGTCCTCAGACGCGGCTGTCTGGGAGAAAAATATGAGAGTTTATCTTCAGTCATGGTGCCAACGGTCCAGTTAAACAGCAGCGCTACACTATGAATCTGTGATGTGGATCACAGAGCTGAACGCTGCAGCACAGAAGACCCGATGAAGCATTCATCAGGAAACAACCACTTAATTTCATATCTTAAAAGCCTCTTAAAGTTTTCATTAAGATGGGATGTGCTTGGAATTATAAACTTTAATTGCAATGAATCCCTAACACACCAAAGTGAGGCTGTGTTCCTCAATCAGCTTCTACATAAAGAGTTTTAAGAACTTAATTTATAGTTTATTTAAGCAGCCTGCCCCTAATCTTGTCAATCAAAGCCAACATGAAGGATTAAATTAAAAGATTCAGGGAAGCATGGGTTTATATTAAGGGAGGGAATCTATTTTTGAGTATTTTATATGAAAACCTCTCTGCAAGTGATTGTTTCTGGCATGTATTTAATACCCCCATAGATCCTTTTTTATCACTGTACGCCATTTTTTCAGCCCAGAAAATGGTGACGTTGTGCATTTCTGCAGACCACAAATACATTACATTTGCATGTTTCATATGTATCATATGTATCATCAACGTTTCTAAAGTGACAGTGCATGGGCTGACTTTGTCATCTGGAGATGGAGGGGATAGTGGATGGCGTGACACCTGGACAATAATACGCCTGCCAAGCTGCAGACCATTGTTAAAGAACAACCAACAACAAAACTGATTGTCTTTTTTTATGATGGGTGTATTTTAGTACCCATTGCTGTGTTTCCTGCAGCTTTGACCCATGGCTGTTTTAGTGTCAAGAAAAGCAATTGTTTTTTACTGAGACATTGCTGTGTTTGTGGTGGGGATTGTCCCCTAAAACTGTCTTTTATACCAAAACATGATCTTTTCCTAACCAAGTGGTTTTTGTGCATAAATGCAACTACACATTAAAGGTCCAGTGTCCAAATGTAGGATTTGGGGGAATAAACTGGGAGAAAAGTAACAAAATATAATAAGTATGTTTTCTTTAGTGTATAGTCATCTGAAAATAAGGATTGTTCTGTTTTCCTTACCACAGAATGATCCATTTACATCTACATAGGCATTTTGGAGCAATTTTGCTCCACCATGGAACGGACAAACCAAACACTGGATCTAGATAGGGCCATTCCATTTTTCATGTTGGCCACCATAGTTCGCAGATCCTCCATGACAAGAGTGTTATATAAATGCAGATTCTTTTAATGTGAAATCGGTTCATGGTAAAATCCTCCTTTTGTCTCAATCAGAAAAAAAGGTGAGCACACATTAGCAAGTGCTGGGCTATTATAGGAGAAACACTGATTTGTAATGTGAAACAGCTTTATTAAGTTTTTTCCATTGGTTTTAATCCACCAGGTTGATTTGATTTGAAGAAGAGGAGACCTCTGTGGATGATTTGGCTCCTGGTAAAATCCTCTTGAACAATTAACACTGAAGAAATTCTAAATATGAGAAGTTTTAGTTTGTGTGCAATCCTCACACACTGCTCTTTTATCACAGCGAAACTTACCCGCTACATAATAACATGCATATCTGTGATTTGCAGAAACGTACGAAACCAATATTTTTTCTGACAATGTGATTGCATTTTTTCTGTTTTATCATTTTGGCAGAGACTCCACATCCATCCCTTTTAAATATTTTTACATTCTCCCTTTTTTAATTAAAACAGCAAAACAGTGCTTTGTTTTAAATATACACAGGAGCCTTTCTGGCTGCTTATTTCTACATGTTATGAGTCATGAGTCATACATGACAATTTTACTGTAAGAAAGTGTTATTAAAAGCTGTATTTAAGGTTATATTTTACAGGAGAACCTGTTCTGTTGTCTGCGGCCCTTCAGCTGCACTGGGATCAGAGCTGTGAGGAGTCTTTGGGTGAATGTAGGACCTGGAGCGATCACCAGAGGGCGCTGTTACACACAGCCTGTCAGGAACCTGAGGAGAAAAAAACGATACCACCAGTGAAGTAAAGCCTCCATGAACATGTCTGCTGTGTTTACTCTCCTGGAAGTGACCTAAAAACATCACAGGCAAGATTAAGTGCCGTTACTCTGTACATACAGTTCAGAAGCTCTTCCTTACTATTACTTCTTTGATCTAGACTACATCTGGCAGCTAGAGTTAGCCTACTGCTTACTCTCCAGGTTCCACATTTACACCATTAACAGATAAAATGTGTTTTAATTGAGTGTTTGAAGTTCTGCTGCTTTAGTGAAGGATTTCAGTTTGTGACACTGTCTACTTTTTCTTCACTGCATTCTAGGGATTTACTTGAGGCAGGGGTGTAGCACCAACTTCTGGCCATTATTATGCATAAGCTAAGGCTTTCTTTGGGCCCCCTGTCAGTCCTCTCTTGATCCATGTCTCTCTCACACACTGTTTAAATTGTATTGTTTCAAAGTCAGTTTGCTTTCTTTTCCTTTCTTTCCTACTTGCTTTTCTTTTTTGTAACCCAAATTTCGATTTCTTGTTGAAAGCCACGAGGGATCCCTTGAACTCTCACCTCAAGATATCTGAGTGAAAATGGGTTCGATGGGTACCCACGTGTCTCCCCTAAAGTTAAGAAGGCTTTCACCAGTAAATGTTTTGTCTCTTACAATCAATGTATTCCTTCAAATTAAAAGTGTACATTTGTCTTCTTCAGAAAAAGGAAAACTAGCCTGAATCACAATGAATAACCTAACACATGTATAAACAGATACATTAACACATTAATAAACGATTGTTGTGGAAATCAAAAAAAAGTTATGTCTTTTGGTTTTGGTGTGCAACCCCAAGATTTTCAGTGACCTCATCTGGCCACCACTATGAAAGATTTCTTGGGGTGGCTCTGGTTTTTGAAGGCACTGTATAAAGCACAAGACACTCAAAAATAATGGTAGAAAGTAAATAGGTGCTCTAGGCAAACACACTGCTTTCATACTTTTTGCGGTGGCAGTCCGATATGATGCTTCATCTGGGTTCTCCATTTAAAGGCCTACAACATAGAATTTGTTGTTTACTGTTTGTAAACACGACATTCAAACTCGGTGCCTCCTCCTCAGCTCAGAAATATTGCATGCAGCGGTAGTCAAGTGAGCTTAAGAGTGAGGGAGCGCCCTTTACAAGAACAAAACAGTATGTCAGAGAAATACAAAGTTATTGTCTGATTGTTTCATGGCCGTTATGTTGTATAGCACAACTGAGCACACCCACATCTCCGCACAACCCTGCAGGAAGGTACTGCATCGCCAGATTTTGTGTGAATTCAGCTGAAGTGCATGCTTCATCCTGTCCACTTGGCTTCTCTGTTCTGTGTGTGTGTGGCTCAACCTCACCCTTGATCGAACAGACACACAGACCTGCAGCTTGCATCTAAAGAGCAGAGGTGAGACAGAGCAGCCTGTTCTCATTCCTGAATCATCAAAAACTGCCAGTTTGTTGGTGATTTTAGTTTCAGACTCCTGATGCCAAAAGCCATCTTTGTATGATACGCGGCCGCACAGAATCAGTTTGTAAGGTGGTCAGCAGTAACCTTTTGCAAGGTTATGATACGGCCCTGGTCAGCCAGATGGCACCTGTTGCGACAGTATGATATGCAGACAGGCAGCGTCAGTTTATGAGACAGCCGGACGGCACCTGTCATGGTGGTTTGTCAGGTTAAAATGTAATATAAGGAGCTGGAAAGTTGCAGTAGGGCAAGCCGGAGGGGTGGTGGATAGGCCTTTCACCCAGGAGCCCAGTGTTTGCTTCCCAGTGTTATGATGAAGAGCCAAACCATGATGTTTTTTTCTCAACCTAACCACATGCTTTTATTGCCTAAAATGAACCACGGACTTTTGTTGCCTGAACGTAACCATGTGCTGTTACTGACAATCTGGCATTGGTGGCGGCATCCTGGAATGTTAACAGCAGACGCACGTACTGTAAAAGGTGACTGACGAAGTGGCACGTCGGACAGGTGTAACCTGGTTGCTACATTTTTATCAAGCAGCAACCTAAAAGCTGAAAAATAAGGCCAACACGGAAGTGCCGAAAACTGAAGTTCCTCTAATGTCCACTTGAGGCTGGCTCTAGAAGCGAATCAATCTCCATAGACCCCCATGTTAAAATGCCCAACTTGAAAGCAGAAATAAACATGTTTACACCCTGGTACAAAGCACACACAGCTACTTTCAACATTATTGACAACTGCACAAGGGGTGAATTTTTACATTACTCACCCATTTACATTCTATAAAGCCATGTTAGTAGCATGAGTTGTAGGATGGCAATATCTACCACTGTGGTACAAAATGACTTACTGTATCTCAACAATTCCAAGATGGATTGTCATGAAATTTGGTACAGATATTCATGTTCTCCTGTAGATGAATCCTACTGACTTTGTTGATCGTATGACTTTTCCTCTCATTCCACGATGAGGTTCATAGTTGTAGTTGTGAGTAAAAAATCTCAACAGCTGGATTTGCCATCAAATGGGAACTACACCCATCTACAAAATTCTGCCATTCCCATGGTCTACGACAGTCTAAAAGTATAAGTAAACATGACTACTTCTACTTTTTTGTGTTATCATGTTTAATAACTCAAATCTACTGACATGACGCTAGAGGCTAGTTGCAGTAGCCCTGTGCAGCCAGTCACAGTAGCTCCGCGCAGGTCAGGTATATGCATGCACATCTCTAGATTACTTGGATGTATGAACACTCAGGGCTCAACCCAAGATGATTAATTCATGACTGTTATTTTGTGGGTTTTGAATGGTGCTATATAATTAAGTTATTTCTACTTCCTGTGGATATCAGTGAACTATCACACATCTACCTGGTTGATCACAGCCCATAGTGCGGAGTCCACTCGGTGCTGCACCTGCCTGTGAGACCTGGACACCGTCACATCTTGGTTTTCTGGAGTTTTCTTGAAATCACCAAGTGCAGCTTCAGCTGGAGGATTTGCTTCTTTCTGTGCCATCTCCCCAGAACTTCTGTTTGGGACAAAACATGTAAAGCACTCACAAAAACACAAATGATCCTGAAGTGCAAGTCATATTAAATCAAGTCAACTCCATCTGCGCATCCAGCAATCACAGATAAAGCATCAAAGGGCTTCACAATAACACAATCAACAAAACTACACAGTAAATAATAATAATTATGTGATAAAGAGGGAAAAAATCATATAGAACTCAGCGGAATGCAATCTGTTAAAAAAAGTGGGATTGTTCCAAAATACAATATTTAAAAAATAAAGTTTTAATTAGTGATGGCAGTTAACAGTATATACTTAAAGGTTAACAATTCACGAGATTATATAGTGCTGGTAGAAATATTCATATCGTTTATGTATCGTAAAAGTAGCAGTACCTCAAAGTAAATTAACTCCAGTTTAAGTGAAAGTAATGCACTCAAAATCTTACTTAAGTACTAGTTAAGAAGTACTAGCAGCAAAATGTAAAATTACTCACTAGGCAGCAGACCCTTTTCAGTCTGACATTATATTATTGCTTCATGCTATGTCTGCATTATTGTGTAAGCAGCATGTTGTAGCTGGTCAAAAGTAAGCAAATTTAAACTACTTTTAAATACAGTTGGGTAGTTTAATCTGTAACATTGGATCTATAATTAATTTATAATGATATAATATTTTATAAACTAAGCATATATTTTGTATGTAAACGATCTGAAAGTAACTATAGCTATCAGATAAATTTAGTGTAGTACAAAGTACAGTTGTTGTCTCTGAGGTGAAGTGAAGAAAGCAGAGAGTAGCATGAAATAGAAATACTCAAGTACCTTTTTGCATCCTTTTTGCACTTTAAAAGACTGTCAACTCCCCCTGCAGTCATCAGTCAACAATCAGACTGAGTATCTTGAATTTAAATGCCTACAGGTCATAACAATAATAGAGAGCAGAAAAATAGGAGGAGGAAGAAGAAACTTTAAAACAACAGTTCTAAAGCCTTACAGAGCAAACAAGCAGAGCAGAATATGGACATATAGGAGATGATAGAAAACACAAGGTAAAATAGGAAGAAAAGGTCAAAAATAAAACTACTGTAAGCAAGCATCATAATTTGGGCAATGTTTGTTCAGCAGCTTAAGCATTTTGAAAGACGCTAAATAAACAGCCAGTCTTGTAATTATACTCACTCTTTGGGCTCCTCAATAAACTGCTTGACTTGTTTGCTGCCTATAATCTTGACAACAAGCCTGGGGGCTGAATTTGCTCCAGACAGCTTTTTCTGAGACATGATGCAGGTGATGTGATCGGGATTCCCTGGAGAACACCACAGAGGAGAGGCATCAATCACACAGCTGATGGAGGGCTTGAACGTTTACCAAAGTGATGGCCTTTATTTTTCACATGAAGCCATTACAGAGAGGCATAGCATGAAAAAAAGATTCTCTTTAATTTGCGACAAAGATCCTTTACTTACATGTAAAATTATTCAATTTTCGTTTTGCAGTTTCTACTCATTTCCAGTTTACTTCTCCATGGCCGAGTGGATCTTGTTTCTTTCGTCTGACAACCAGTTTCCTGAGGTGTCAGGCTTCCTGTTTGCTTTTTTCTGCACCATGGCTACCACTCTGTTCCCACTTGAGATGCCATGCCCAACACCTTACAGCTCTGCAGAGGACTGGGAGTCACTTTTGCACACACACTTGTGATTTATGAGTGTGTGTTTTGCATTGGAGTCAGCTGGCATTATAAAAAATGTTGTAAATGCAGAGAAGTGGCCAGCAGGTAAAGGTGAAACAAAATGCCAGATGGAGAAATATGACATTCAGTTTATGACCAATTGCTATCTCTTTTTCTTTTTTATCTCTGTTGTACATATGTGTTTATGTCTGGTGTGAATTTATCAGGCTGCAGTGATAGGAGAGGTACTTAAAATCCATCATCTAAAGCAGTGGTTCCCAACTGGTGGGTCGCGGTCCAAAAGTGGATCACAGGTCCATTCTGAATGGACCACAGGTGACTCGCAAACAATTAAAGTTTTTCAAAAAACACTATTATTATTATTATTATTTTAAAATAGAGTGAATTTCCAGCACAGAGCTTTTATTTTGAAGTGCCGATTTCTACTGTAGATTGAGTGGCTAACAGACACTTGACGGAGACGGCGAACTAGCTCAGTGACATGGCCCAATACAAGTATGACGCTAAATGTATTTAACTGCATGGACCTTGAACTAATGACGAAGGAGAAATCTGGAACCCGTGGCTGGACCATTTGGGAACCACTGATCTAAAGTAATGGTACTCATAGTTTTATCATAACAGAAAAAGGGAATCCTGCATTAAAATGTATTAATTTATTAAGTATATCAAAAGTAAAATGTAAGTCTACCCAAGTAGCAGCTACTCATTTTGAAGAGTGGTCCCTTTCAGTGCTAAATTATCACCTTAAAGCATCAAGAATGAAAATCCCTGACACAGGAGTAAATGGGTTTCCTACCCTAGATTTAATGGATTCAGAAGGACTTTATGCTCCCCAGCAGAGCAGAGACTCCTAAACCTCCTCACATAAATGTCTGTTAAAAATTACAAGGCTGATTTACAGAAACTTTAAACAGCTGACATTTTAACGAGACTACAGCCGTGCTAACAGCTATTTGAGGCTGCACTTGTGGTACAGCAGTGCTTTAATCTAAATGCTAAAATGCTAACGTCAGCATGCTAATATGCAGAGGTGAAAGAAGTACTAGTACTAGTTTACTTGACTAAAAGTAGAAATGCCAGAGTTTAAAAATACTCTATTACAAGTAGAAGTCCTAAACTCAAAATGTTACATTAAAGGAACCGTGTGTAAGATTTAGGAGGATTTAGTGGCAGTAAGGATTGCAGATTGCAACCAGCTGTAACTTCTCCTGGTAAGAATCCCTTCAGTGTTCATTGTCCAGGAAGTTTTTACCCAGAGCCCAATTATCTGCAGAGGTCTCTTCCTCTCCAAAACAAATGGACCCAGATTAAAACTGGTTATAAAGCACTGAACAAAGCAGTATCACATTACAAATTAAAGTTTCTTATTTGTGAACCAGATGTTCAGGAGGTTTTTACCGAGGGCAGAATTATCTGCAGAGGGCCCTCCTCTCAAAAAATTAAAGGGCCAGTGTGTAATATTTGGCATGGTTTATTGTCAATCTGAATCTGAATCTGAATATTCTACCCATTAATATGTTTATACAAGTGTATGATCGCTATAAAATAAAATTCGTTTGGTTTTCGTAGCCTTATAATTATGCTTTTATATATATATATAGCAAGGGCCTTGCTTTAGAGAGGTCGCCATCTTGCGCCACCATATATATACGGCAGACCAAGCGGACAATCCAGCCAGCCAGAGAATGCATTCCGCGTGTATAAACAAATAGACAGCGGAAGGAAGGAAGAAGGAGGAAGAAACAGCAGAGTGTTAGTAGTTCGTCAACAGAGAATAGTGAAAAGTTTTTTTAGTTATAAAGTTTGCGAATGGACCACACTTACCACGCAACAGGAGAGAATGAACCCGAACCGTCATCTGCGAGGAAAAGAAGACGCAACTTCACTCCTTGTGATGCACTCTCTGCGGTGCTTTTCCTCCTGGTGATATATCTCCCCAGCGATGGTAGCAGTAGCACCGAATCCCATTCTGTGCATTCAGCCTCTCTTCTCGCCCGCTCAGTATCAAACACATAGAGTTCCTCATCTGTATGCTCCGGCTCAAACAGGTATGGACTCTGGGTCTGTGTCCGCTACAAGAAACTCTTCAAAATCGCGTTCAAAGTCATCCATTGCAGCTACTATAGTCCGGAGATATTGCTAGGCTAAATAAACTGCTGAGCTCTGTTACCGGCCACGCTGTCAGTCAGTGTGTGGGCTGGAGATTGGTGGAGCAGAGAGGGGAAGGGGGTCCCCACTTAGAATGGTAAACGAGTATGTGTGTAAAGTTATGAAGTGTGTCTGTTACACTAGAAGAGTCAGAGTTTGGGACGGAGTGGAGTGTTACCGGAGTTTCTGGAGTGCTCAAATAAATGGGCCTTTTTCCCGAACGCTCCTCTGGTCTCCTGCTCGTGAGGGATTCATTACAATATCGTAACATGGCTTAGATTTCTAAATAAACATTCACCTCTTCGCTAGATAGACCTACTCCTGAAAAAGTCGTGCGCAAGGCTTTTTGTCCCTATGAGGCCACCGTCATTTACCCGACGGGAGGGGTGAGCGAGTGAGCCCTGCAATCTAGAATTTGACCACTGATGTCACTGTTTTCAACCCATTTTACACACTGGGCCTTTAATGGCTCAGGTGATAAAAATGGATAAGATAAGATTGACCTTTATTGTCTCTCAAGAGAAATTCATCTTAGGCATACGAAAAAAAGTACCGGCGTCTCACATCAACACGCAGATTACAGTCACACTTGGCTCTTTACATAAACATAAAAACATGAATGAAAGCAGTTTTATGTTACAAATCAGTGTTTTCTGATGCTGTTTGGCATGGAGATGAGATGCTAGCTCAGCACATGCTAATGTGTGCTCACCTTTTTTCTCTGATAACTCAAAATCCAGATATTCAGGAGGTTTTTACCAGGAACCGAATTATCCATATTGGTCTTGTTCTCTCCAAAACAAAGGAACCTGGTGATTAAAATCTGTAAAACGCTTAATAAAACAGTTTTGCATTAAAAATCTTTTTGACACATTCATCACTACAGGTGCTTCTTACTACAGTGGCCGATGCAAAATGTAGAAGTTCCTATCTGGAGCCTGTGTTTGGATTGTCCATTCTGGGCTACTGTAGAAACATGGCTGTGCAACATGGGGACCTCCACAGATGAGAATCTGCTCCCTGTGTAGATATAAACAGCTGATTATAAGGCAACAAAACACACAGGGTTTCCAGGTCATTATACACCAAAGAAACATGCTTATCATCTTATATTCAATTTCTAACAAAATATCCCCCTAAATCCTACACTGGACCTTTAA